TCAAAGTCCCCCAGGCCCCAGCAGAGGCAGAAACTGAGGCTGTGTCCCCTTCTCCCCCACCTTTCATATATGCCCTGGGCCTACAGCCCCACATCAGCAGCGTTTTGTGTGTCTGTTGTGTGTTCTGTGTGTGCATGTGCTCTGGGCTCCCTATGCAGGGCCCAGCTCAGAGGCACCGGCCAGCAGTCCCAACAGCGGCAGCGAGGCCCCCAAGAGCAACAGCAGCGGCAGCTCGCAGGGCACCCTGGCCTGCAGCGCCAGTGACCAGATGCGCCGATACCGAACCGCCTTCACCCGGGAGCAGATTGCCCGGCTGGAGAAGGAATTCTACAGGGAGAACTATGTATCCAGGCCGCGGAGATGCGAGCTGGCCGCCGCCCTAAACCTGCCGGAAACCACCATCAAGGTATGCGCCCCGAGACCGGGGAGAAGGAGTGCGCCCACTCAGCAGGAAGTAAATACCAACTGTCCACTCCCTAAGTCCTGGGCCAAGAATCACAGCCTGGCGTCTCCCAGCCCACGTGGCAGCTAGGCCGGGGGTGTCGAGGCCTGGTGCGGGCGCCAGGTGTGTGCACTTTCACCTTCCCGACAGACCCTAGGCGGGACCTGCTGGCTTGCGGTAGACTCTCTGCCTTTTCTAGCCAAACAAACAGCGGGGATGGGGTGCCTTTGCCCCGAGGGAGAGCGGCTGGAAGGGGCGGTGTTTCTGGGGAAGCCCTGCCTGCGACCTCAGACCAGCAGAGTCCTTAGTCCACCGGGCTACTTGCGCGTCCACACCGGGCTGGCCCTCCAGGGAGCCCTGGCAGAGGGAAGGAGGGACAGACCCTGAAGCCACTCCCCGAACCTCTCCACGGGGGATTCCAGCGCCAGGTGGTGGCGGCGGGGCTCTGCCCCCGCCCAGAGGGTCTCTGCCGCGGCTCTTCCCAGCGCCACCGGCATCGTCCCCCGCCGCGGGGACAGGACTCCTGGGGCTCCGTGCGCCCGGGCCGGCGCCCCTGCAGCCGCCGAACCTGCCCCTCTCCTCCCCAGGTGTGGTTCCAGAACCGGCGCATGAAGGACAAGCGGCAGCGGCTGGCCATGACGTGGCCGCACCCGGCCGACCCCGCCTTCTACACGTACATGATGAGCCACGCGGCGGCCGCGGGCGGCCTGCCCTACCCCTTCCCGTCGCACCTGCCCCTGCCCTACTACTCGCCCGTGGGCCTGGGCGCCGCGTCCGCCGCGTCCGCCGCCGCCTCGCCCTTCAGCGGCCCGCTGCGCCCTCTCGACACCTTCCGCGTGCTGTCGCAGCCCTACCCGCGGCCCGAACTGCTGTGCGCCTTCCGCCACCCGCCGCTCTACCCCGGCCCGGCGCACGGACTGGGCGCGGCGACCGGCGGGCCCTGCTCCTGCCTCGCCTGCCACAGCGGCCCCGCCAACGGGCTGGCGCCCCGCGCCGCCGCCGCTTCGGACTTCACCTGTGCCTCCACCTCCCGCTCGGACTCCTTCCTCACCTTCGCGCCCTCCGTGCTCAGCAAGGCCTCCTCCGTCGCCCTGGACCAGAGAGAAGAGGTGCCCCTCACCAGATAAGGGGCTGCCCGCGGGCCGCCGGCTCCAGGACGCCCGTGGGCTCCGCCCCCCGCGTGGGGACTCAGCCAGCGCCCCTCCCTGCCCCCAGGGCACCGAGGGGGAAAGAAGCGGGCCGAAAAGGACCAGAGGGACTCGGCCTCCAGGATCAGGACGCCTGGGGAGCGGCAGTGGCTGGCGCGTTTGGGGATCAGGAGTGGGGATGGGGAGGCGGAGGCCGAGAGACCTTCCTCTGGGGCGGCCCCTCAGCCGTTTTTCACCGGACCCCGTGCCCCGGACGGGGGTTGAGGCCATGGCTCCAAAGCCAAACAAATTTAGTAGCAGCAGCCACCGATATCCAGCCCCTCAGTCCCTCCTCACACCCCCACCTCACACCCTTGCCTCACCCGGGACCCCCCTTCCCCCAAAGGCCAAGCCCAAGCACTGGAAAGGAAACTGCTGTCTCTCCCAACAAAATGCTGTGTATGCAGGGCAGGTGGAGATTAATCTTTGCCAGCTTTTCCAAGGCACGGCAAGGGGCTTGTGGATGGCGATGCACCAGCCGCCTAGGGGAGAGAGTGGGAGGGGTGATTTACTACCGCGGAAGATCCTGGCCCTCCCATGGAACCTAGGGGCTCTCTTGCCTTCCTGGAGCCTCAGTTACACATTTTCTCGTTCTGGCATCTCCCAGCACCTGATCTCGTGTCTCTCTCCTAGCTTCCTGCTATCTCTCAACTTGCAGCTCCATCATCTCTCCTCCTACCTCCGTCCTATCCCCACTTTTTGTTTATTTAGCATTGGCAGAGACGTTGCGGAGGCCTCAGGGCCTCTTGGCAGCTTCTACCAAGTCTCTCTTCTCCCCGGGCCCAATACACACCCTGATTAGCAAGTGATATGTGTGAGGAGGGTTTTTGAATGCTGAATGTATAATAATGATCACCGTGCCACGGAGCCCAGAGTTGAGCTGTTAACAAGGCGCCCAGGGAAGAGCTTAGGGAGCAGGGACCTCGTCTCCTTCCCTCACTAAGTATCTGCCAGCAAATTAGAGGCTATTTCAAGCCCTTGCCTGTTCACCTTCCCTTCACCAAGAGCTTTCTGGCTCTTCCCGGTACAGTTGGCATTTTACGTCCTTCTTCCTCTCCTTTTCCTCCCAAGCTGCCACTGAGGCTTGGCTTTCAGACACTAGCAGAAGCCTTCCGCCCCTTCTGGGGACCTTGCCCTTCCCCTTCACCAGGTTTTGTTTGGGGGCTGTGCCCACACTCTCACTCTCACCCTCATTCCTGCAGCCAGTTTTTGAGGGCTAGGAGAACGTGTACCCCTCAATAACAAGCTTCACCCTGACGGAGGGAGTGGTTCTTCCAGTAGGGAATGAATTCGGTTTGGTTTTCCTTCGAAGCCTGAAGAATCTGCTGTTGCAATTTGTTAACCATACTGCAATAAAAGCTGGACATAATTCTCACTTTAACATTTTAATGTTTGGGGCAGCAGGCAGTGCAGTGACTTTTTGAATTGCTAGGTCGGCCACCAGAAGCTTAGGTATAGAAGGAACCAAGACGTGCACCCGCAGACAGTCTCCCAAACTTCTGCTGGCCCTGGCAGAGACAGGACATCGCATAGATGTGGAGAAGACAGGCTCTGACTGCCCCGAGGTGCATGTTTTCTTAATTCCCTGCACACTGGGGGCCTTCCATGCTGAACTGGCCCACCTGGGGCTCACCCCTGCGATGGTTTCTTCTCCAGTTGCTCCAAACTTTGGAGGAAAGGGGACCCTGGACTAAGGTCTCTGTGGATCCTGCTTCCACCCCCAACCCAAGGTTAGAGGTGAATGAGGCAGTGAGGGTGGAGCTTGAGAATTACAGCGAGCTGGGCTTGCTGGGTCAAGCTGAGTCTGCACCTTAGGGTTCAGGGAAAGGAGGGAGGCGGATTCCTGGGTCGGCAAGGGTGGGTCTGAATGCTCCTCAAACTGAAAGTCCTCTCCCAGAATGAGTTCTGGCCTGGTCAGGGCTAGGGGGTGGTGCCCCCCTCAGCCACCTCACCCCCAACCTCCATCCCCGGAGGAGAGCCACCGTGGCTGCCTCTGAGTCCCGGACATGCAGGGGAGAGATGGGCGTCATGGGCAGACTGGGAACGCGGAATTGCGTGGACTTCAAGGGTCCCCGCCAGTGTCTCTGTGGGCAGATGGGGAACCCTCAATCGGCCTCCATCCCTCTGTGGGTTCCAGAGAAACCCTCCCGCCCTGCCAAGCAAAGCCTTGAGCTGAGGTTTTCAGTATCCTCCCCTTCCCTCCTCCACCCCCAGCCTTTCGCAGCTACCTCTGCAGCCCGGGAAGCTCCCCGTGCCAAACTCGGGCAAATTTCGCGGTTACTTCGCGGCAGGCCCAGATTGCTTGCGACAGGTAAATGGGCTGCGGGTTGCCGTAATGCCAGGCGTATTTTCAGTTAATAGGGAGGGAAAATGAGGTGTCTGCAGCGATATTGGAAAGTACAAGATCGATGATCCGGCCTCGTGTCCAATCAGCAGCCTTTAATTGACTGTATTTTCTGGGTAATTGAGCCTCTCTTCCTCCAAATTGAAGTGGAAGATATAACAATACATCTTGCCAGGAGGAATTACTCATTACTTCATAATGAAATTTCCCTTTTGCCAAGGTTTGCGGTTTGGCGCTTAGGCACCACTTCTCACTCTCCCTTCTCCACCCCTGCACCTAAAAAC